TTCTATAAAAGAGATACTGAGTCGAGTTATACTATATTTTCTTTTTTTTGGTACTGTGTTTTCTTACCATGGTCTTAAACATAATTGTATGTTTATTTTTGTAGCAGCAAAAGCATAGATTTTTAGACATTATAAGTAAGTTACAGACAAAAACACTTCACTGGAAGATTTGAAAAAAAAAACAATACTGACTTTGTCATCTAGATATGTATGGGAATAGTACTTCTTGGAGAAATAAAATGGATTAACTGATTCTTGACAAAATTTATTATGTCTACTTTGCTGGGATGGACAGTAAAGGCGTTTTGAGTGTTAAAAGTAGTGACAGTTAATTCTATGAAACAGGAACTTCAAATGCTGTAATGTATGCACGTGGGAGGCCACAGAGATGTGCAGCCATCTGGTCCTCTACCCTGTTTGGCTGATGGAGTGCAGCAGACTAGGCAAAACTCACTTCTAACGTCTAAACATTCTTTCCATTGCACCTTCACCCATGATGTCATAGCAGGTGTTGGTACTGCAGGGTTCAAAGTCATGTTGGCAATTTGACAAAGTAAACTTGAAGTTTCAGCATAAAAGAAGGAATGTACAGGTGCTGAATGAAGAGTTAGCTACTTTAAGATTTAGAATCTAAATATTTAAGAATATCAGAGAAATGCCAAAGCCCACTAACGTACAATTAAGATGTGAAAACATTTGCTTCTTACCTTAAACGTGTTTCTATTTGTTCACAAAGAGATGCTGCCTTGAGACCCAGTCTTCTAACAGGAAAACAACTCATAAGTAAAATTAAAAAACAAAAACAAAATACAAACCCAGAAGTATATTATTTAGACATCACCTGCTTATTTGCTCTTAGTTCTGAGTAACTCTTCAGTGTTTGAAACATGAAGCGCTCCTCCCAGGCAGGACTTTTCCACCAGTGACTGTGTATGCAGATAGGAATATGCCACACACTCGGAGCTCTGCTTTCAAGGACTTCTAGCTGCAGCAGAGAGATGCCATAATACAGCTGTGCCTGACTGTTAGCATTCATTGAAACCAAGAGTGAGTCTGGTCCATTCTGAGCACTTCTCATTTCTGTCAGAACTGTTCCCCCAAAGGTCTTTCTATTTTTTGAAGCAGTGCATACAGCATGAAGTGGGAAAGGAAAAGTGGAACTTGGTCTTATGCGAGAAGGATTTTTCTGACCCCCATTGACCCAGAATAGAACACACAACCACAGACAAGATATTATCAGTCTAATCCCATCTGTTGTGTGCCACATAAATGGGGTAATTTGTTGCTTTAGCATTTGATATTTTCACAACACACACACACACACACACACACACACACACACACATTAGTCTTGGTCTGGGGTAAGGAAGAATTATAAGGGATTAAAGCCATATGTTCAGTTTACAAAAGGAGCTGAAGGCCTAGTATGTTTGTTTACATTTTAAACAAGCTGAAATTGTATTAAATGATCTCAAGGCATAATATTAACTTTGGTTACAAAGTTAAGGGCTGAAGTGATGTCTTAGTGGTTAAGAACACTGGCTGCTCTTGCACAGGACCTGGGTCTCAGCACCCACATGGAGGCTAACAGCCACCTGTAACTCCAGTTCCAAGGGATCTGACCTTTATGTGCATTGCACACATGGGTGCACTTGCATAGGTGCAGGCAATACATGCATACACATAAAAAATAAAAAGAATACATATAATATTTTAAAAAACAAAGATAGGTAAGATCCCCATTTGTCATTCTCAGAAAAGTCATTCCCACCCCAGCTTGGCCCATTATTCTTTGAAATAAATATCAAGTCCTCCAGGGTGATGCTTTGGCAAAACCATTTGATTTTCCATACAAATTTGGTTATGCTCCTCTCATGATATGCTCCTGTTTTCATGGCCAGTAAGAGGAGTAAAAATGCTTTTCTAAACAAAACTCCAGAGAGTCACTGTAATTGGACTAGCTTAGGTCACATGCCCAATAGTGAATTTTATATATATATATATACATATATTATATATATGTATATATATGTATTTTTGCTTGGGGAATGGATTGTGTTATTTAACTTAAAGTAAGATGAAACCATTCCCCAAAGTAGGTAATGGCTTCATCTTTAAGTTAAAGTAAGGCCAGCTGTATTACATGTCCTAAAATCACAAGGGCTCTTGTAATTTATGGGGGTGCTTAGAAATCTGGGAGTAGTAGTTAATCTCAAATTCATATAATTAAAAGTGAAAAGTATTACAGATCTTCTGAATTTTCAAGAATTACAGAAGGTTCATAAGTAGATGTTGCTAGTTCCTTGAAGGAATTTGTCACAAACTACAGAGTAGAAAAGCAGAGGAGAGCCAGGAATCCTGGTGTCATGAGAAACATGTGGCAGAGGCACTGGTCTAAGAATACAGAATAAGAAGCATCATATGTTGAGGAGACAGCTCAGTTAGTACAATGTTTGCAACTCAAGCATGAGGAGCTGTGTTTGTTCCCCAGAACACACATACACTCTAAATGTGGTGGCATACATTTGTAATCTTAGTGCTGGGGAAGTGGAGATGAGTGGATCCCTGAGGCTCACTGACTGGTCAGCCCACCTATTGGCACGCTCCTGAGAAACCATCTCAGAAAGGAAGATGGACAGTACCTGAGGAACAGCACCTGAAGTTGATTCTGACCTCAATATACTCATGTGCATGCATGTACCTGCCCCCCCCGAAACATTACGAGTCTGGGAATATGAAAAAGATTTCCCAGCAAAAATAAATATGAGAAAATTGCATGTGTAAGATCCTGGGTTCAATCAGTAGCACTGAAAAAAAATCTAAAGATTAGAAAAAGGTTGACACATTTTAGAGATGCATGCCTCAGGTGTGAGTAGGTCTTCAGTAAGGGCAGCAGTGGCACTCACTAAAATAAGAGACTACAAAAGTTTCTGTATGCCCCCATGACACTGAAAATTTGTACTAGATAGAACTTGACATTAGAGCAGTTCCTAAGTGGTGGAACCCCAGAGAACAAAAGGGGAAATGGAAATCTACTGAGATATACAGGATGAATAAAGAAAGAAATCTTGGAGAAGAGGCAATGCTTGAGTTGTGCTTTGCACAAATTTTAACTTTTCCAGAAGGAAGCAAGGTCTATTCTGTAAGAAATGAGATGGCTTATGTAGGAGGTTCCCTGCCCCAGATTCGATAAGCACATAGTCCCTAAATTAATATCCTGTGGGTAGATATCTCCTGAGTTTAGGATTCTGGAAAATTGCATAGATTTTCTGGCATCTTGATGAGGTAAATATACTTTTCTTTCCTATTTTAAATATCACTAAATCTTTTAAAATGCTGTATTCTGGGACTAATTTTTTTGGGGGGATAACTATCCAATTCCAGTGACAGCTATCTCAGATCATAGGTGCTGATGGAAAAACAACTATTATTAACAAATAAGGGGGCCAAAAAAATCGAAGCGGGCTTTTCTTTCTTTAAACTTTCAACTTTCACTCAGAGAGAAATTTGATTTTGGATTATAATTCTTTTGGGCTTTGATGTGATGTGTTAAGAGTAGTGGTTATGGTGGTGCATGCCTTTAATCCCACCACTTGGGATGCAGAGGCAGGCAGATCTGTATGAGATTTCCACAGTGAGTTACAGGTCAGCTGGGGCTACAGGGAAACCTTGTCACAAAAAGACAAAAAAAAAAAAAAAAGAGTAATGAATATAATTTGGGCTAGGAAATTGAGTGGACATGTTTCTTTTTTCCTTTCCTTGATCCTAAACTAGTCTAATTTTTCCACAAGGAATAACATCTCCTACTTTTGGTACATGTATTTAGGAAGGACTGACTTTATCTTCAGAATTTGGAATGGATGCAGCCCCAAGTCTGATAGTTCAGGTACTATATTAACAACCTCTCTCTTTGCTGTGCTCAAACACCAGGCAAGAAGCAACTTAAAGGAGGAAGGACTTATTTTATTTTGGCTCATTTGAGGTTACAGTCCATTAGAGCCCAGGAAGGCACAGCCGCAGGAGCATGAGGCTGCTGGATCACATCTGATGGGTCAGGAAGCAGCAAGTGGAATGCAGGCTCTGAGCTAGCTTTCTCCTTTTCATTAACTCTAGGACCCTCACCCAAGGGATGGTGCGGCCTACATTCAGGAGTGGTGATCCCCTGCATTAGTTCCCTTCTGTTGTTATGATAAAATACCATGGCCAAAAATGACTCATGAAGAAAGAGTCTATTTTGGCTTCTGATTCCAGAAGGAGAGTCTGTAATGGCAGGGATTCATGATGGCAGAAACAGGTGGCTGAGAGATTACATCTCCATCCTCATGCAGGAAGCGAAGACAATGAGCTGGAGGTGGGGTGAGGCTATAAACAAAGCTTTCCCCCAGTGGCATACTTCCTCCAGCAAGGCTGTACCTCCTAAATCTCCCAAACAGTGTCACCAGCTGGGGACCAATTGTTGCAATATCTGAGCCGAGAGGGGACACTGCTCTTTCCAGCCACCATATTCTACTCCCTGGCCCCCCATAGGCTCATGGTCATATCATAATGCAAAACACATTTTGTCCAATTTTAGAAGACCTTATAGTCTTTCACAGTCTCAATACTATATAAAAGTCCAAAGTCTCTTTTGAGATTCAAGGCTATCTCTTTACTGTGACCAGCTGTAAAATGAAAAAGTACATCCATTCAATGTGCAATAGCACAAAATACATATTGTTATCCCCAAGTGGAGGAATGGGGCATAGTGAGGAAATACTGGACTAAAGCAAAACCAGATCCAGAAGGGCAAGCAACTCTGTGTCCTATGTCTGGGACTTTGTTCAAAGGGGTTAGATAGGA